GATATTAAATATATGCTTTACTAGAACAACATTATAATAATTTGTGTAACTCTATAAAAAGATGAATAACTGTTGAAAAAATAACACTCATGCTTAATGTACTATTAATATTTAAGTATGTGCAATTGTATCGGAATCATACGTTGTATACATTATTAGCATAAGTGACTATTGCTGCACACAATTTAATTTAAAAAAATGTATTTGTTCATTTAAAAAATAATATACACAAAAAATCGATAGTTTATAATGATAATATGATCGTTTTTAATTTTTCATATAATAATATTATTAATGACAAATGTATAAACAGTGTGATGCAATGACAGTTTATTGATCTTAATCGGTGAATATGTACATCATAAATTGAAATAGATAGTGAATGTCATACGAGTACGATTTTAGTTCGTGTTCATGTACGTTATAACGTTGTTTAGAATAGATAAGTTACCGTGGATGCAAAATTAATATTTATATCACGACCAACTCAAATGAATAATTATAATAAAGATACGATATGGGCTATGGGTGAAATTAAAAACGTACATTATTAATATATGATATGCTTATTACATAGACATATTTGTTTGGATAAAATTTTCAAATAAGTTACGTGGTTTTCTTTTGCTCAATTCTAAAACGTGGGTATATCGGCACCGCCCAGAAGTGTAGATGGATGAAATATTCAAATACGCATTTCTATTGAAAAGAAAAAAAAAAGTTTATTTTAACTATTTCGTTCTCGGGCGAATCGCGTAATAATATTATAATAAAAAATTATGTATTTAGAACTTGGTTTTTCTTATCATCGCGGACGGACGGACGGTCAACGAATAGAATTTAACTGCTGAAAGAACACAAATTCGTTTGTATGATGGGTACTGGAGCGTATACGTGGTACATACGATACTATTGCAATCTTGTTTCATTCATTAAAAGCGCAATCGCAGCCCGCGGATATTATGTATGGGTGCATAATCACGAACCGCGACTGTTGAATACAATAAATTAAATCTACAGAACGCGTACGATATAATAAGTATAGGTATTGGATAATAATTCGTTGGCGGACATGTGTCTAATTGACGGTTAACGACGATTAAGGACCATAAAGTGTCCGATTATACGCGCACAAATCTCGAGGATTTCGTACGTCTGTAGCACGGGATTACTTCACAAGTATTGTTTTGCCATCGTTTATATTTTTATAATTTTTTTTTTTTTTTTTTTAGTTTATTTATTGTTTTTTTCGTTCACCTTCCGGCCACGATCACCGTTTAGTTGTGTATACCGCTATGAAACGTTTTCCCTTTTCAATTCGTCCACCATGCACGCACACATGCAGTTGAACGTCAACGAAGGATCTACACGTATTTTGCGTTTAACGCATGTCACGTATCGCAATGCTTAACCCATTATTTGAATAACACGCACGGCAATAATACGAGCTGGCATGTTCGTCTTATGTGTGGATTTTATTTGTAAACATCGACTATAGCTCGGACTTTTCTACGTACGAATCCAGGAAGGCCAATTGGGTCTAAACCCTCCCCTACCAAAATTGTTTCATATCTGTCCCTAAAAATAGTTATCCTATATAGATTATAATTGAAATGTAACATAAAGTACTTTTAATTTGAAAAGTAAATAAAAATGAAATGCTAATTTTTAATCTTAAATGTGAGAAAATAATTAATTTTTGTAAACAGTTCTAGTTTTGAGTGGAAGGAATCAAAGTTTTTAAACCCCTCCCTCCCAAATAAATTAAATTTCTGTTAACGTGCTTGTTAATAAAATGCGTGTAAAATGTGTACAGTAAAATAAGTGCAATTATTGAAATATACGACTGCATCACGTGTTTAACGAGTACGTGTATAATATTGAAATCTTCGGTCGCGTATGGTAGAAAATTCATTTGATTTCAATTTATTCACTGAAAACGTATAATATCACGTTGCAGTGGATTATAGGGGTTCAGAAAGCGGGTCTTCGATAGTAATAATACGTTGCTGTGCTACTGCAACGATTATTCGCATTACGTAAAATCAGTGGCGTAGCAAGAGTACGGCGAACTGTTTCTACACCAGGGGCGTGAATTGCAAAAGGGTGCCAAATTGTGTGAAAGTCGTATTTATATCCTACAGTCAAATCGAAATTTTTTCATTGTACTCTATGAAATACGTAGATGTTGTCTATTTGTACACACTGCGTGTGAATTTAATGATGAAATTACGAAAATAACGCAAGGACATTTAAATAAAAAATTTCATATAAAGAAATTATCGATGGATTTGCTAGCCATAAAGCGAGAATGTTAAATTTTCAAAGTTTAAAATTAACACTGTAATAACTTATAAGTATAAATTGTATACTGAAAAATATTAGTAAAGAAAATATCGTGCCATCAATCTTTTTGTTTGCCAGGGGCGCTAGCGAGTCTTTCTACGCCACTGCGTAAAATGATAAATTGCAGCAGCTATCGAATCGCTGTTATTGTACACCGGTCCATGGGAAACGACAAACGTCCGTATCGAAGATTTTCACCGGATAACTGCGGAAGCAGTGACCATCGCCAACGACGTGCGGTTGTACCTACTGCGTACACGACGTGTACACCGGTCGTGGTAACGAATTTTCGTTTTATTTCTCCCTCGCAACGAACCCCGTGCCTATTCCAATATTGTGACGTGTGCAAGAATTTTTCCCGTTCCCGCGTGATACCGGCAACTGCTCGGGTCTAGGTCAAACCATGTCGGTAATGGTATTATTTTTTCTTCTAATTGTTACACTGTTCTCCGTCCGACCACCAAGGATCACTGGCGGCGGTGGTGCCCTCATGTACGCAGACGATTGCAATATCGGCCGTCCGACCGTGACACGGAAAAGCACGCACAGAACCCAATACATAAAACACTACTACCCACTCGCCTACATGCGCACACGTCATACGTTTGCGAATTCTGTTGCCGGCGCGGTGGTGTTGCGATAGTCACGATTTCAATGGCGTTCGGTATCCACAGAGGTCGAGAGACCGGACGTGCGAGACCGACGGCGGCTGCCGGCCAGAGCTTCGAACGGGTCGAAACGAATCGGAACGGAAAGAAAATATACTGAGCGTTTGCGAGAACACGGGACAGAAAAATGCGATGCATGCGTGTAGGCACTTTTCTGCGCTCGTGACTTGCTCGCAGTCCCGATTCGCATGTTTCCCGAGCGCGAAACAGCCGAGCTGAACATCGGTATTGCGCAACGAAACAGATTTGCCGCCGATATATCATCCGTGCGGGTCGTTCGAACTTGACAGAAATGATATCATCAGCAGTGCGGGCGGAATACGAACGGTGTAAACAATTGTATCAAATGAGTACCCCGTTTTCAATATTTCATGTTATCCGCGCTAAATTTTAAATAAATGTTTGAAGGCAGTGACGTACACTACGTATGGAAGTGACGGAGTTTTTTTTTATTAAGTAAAAATTGATTTCACAATACCTGTAAATATAATCGTAAATAATTTGTGATATACATGGTACCTACACGGTCAATCAAAACACCTACCCTCATTAAAACGCAAAAATGTTGATAAGGTACTAGAAAAAAGATACGTTTAAAGATGATAGGATAAATACGATATGTACAAAAACATTAGTGTTTATATGATAAACATAGAAAATGATTTGCTACTTTCTTTCGAATCTCGGAGTATACATTTTACATTTTGCTCCACACGCCCTGGTAGACCTAGATTTATTATACTTAATGGGTATCCCGAAGATAACGATGTGGGCCCATATTTTTCTACGCTACATCGAAATATATAATTGAATGGTCGGGTATTAGCAATTCGTAAATTCTACAGTAGCAAATAATTACAAAGGATGTATCTACTATCATTTTTTATAAATATTATGTAGAATTTATGTTCGTAACTGTCTATAAAAAATTTTATCATATTTATAATTATTAAATTATCAAGTAATTATTATAAAATGTTCTCACGTTATTCCACGAAACAAATTAAATTCGAAAATATGTTACATAGCACGTTATTCCCGCCGAGCCTCCATTAAATGGAAAAAATATAATATCGCATGTCTTACGAACATTTGAATTAGATACAATGTTATACGATCTGCGGTGTCGTCTTGGATGGCAAAAAAAAAAAATAAATAAATAAATAAGAAAATATGTGGATAGGTATTGAAATTAATCGGGAGGTCTCGAGTTTTCACTTTACGTTTCTATTTAAATTCTATACGCAACGAAATGGTTCATATATATGTGGTTAAACGCGAATACCTACAACATTTATATATATATATATATAATTATGGTTCGTCCTTGACAATTGAAAACTATTAGACGTTGAAATACGCACACCGAAGAAAATCGAATTTTATTTATTACTATGTACGTTGCATTGATTAAAAAGTTAATAAGTCCTATACCATTATTATATTATGTCAGCATCACAATACAAATATTATGAAAAATTTAATATTATTTTATGTACGTATACATCGAAAAGAATGCATAAACCGGAGACTTTAACGAGTGTGTCCACGTTTTTTTTTTTCGATTTCTAGATAAAATTAGGCGGACAGAGTTTTCTAATACTAATTAATTTATGTATAACGGGTAAATATCTAAATTGAGAAAACTCATTTTGTACATGCAATATGCATTAGATATAATACTATTCATCACATACAATGACGGATGGGCTGGAAAATTCGAAAAACTATAAGTACGACCGTTTTAGCGTTTAATAGGAAAAATAATTACAAATACGTAAACGGTGACGTAAATGGTTTGAATAACCCGCCGACGAAATTTAGCACGTGTTTCGAACTCTGTTCATCCACCGTGAAAATACAAATGTATACTAAATTTTCGGAATTTTCCTCGCACGAACACAATACGAACGTACGTAAATATTCGCATAGAAAAAAGACAAGTAAGCACGTGGAACGTGCGATTTAGATTTTTCAACTCTTTACCTGTTCGTTTCTTGACCCGGGTGCCGGCGTACATGGTCGAGTTCTCCATGTTCGTGTGCGTCAAGACGATGGTCGATTGAACGGGAGCCGGCGCGAAGTACAGCGACGCGGTCACCAGGACCAGGCACCACACGTGGTACAGATGGTTCATTTCGGAGCGCGGGCGAGACAGATGTGATGAAAAGAGAGAGAAAAAAAAAAGTAAAAACGCCTAACACCGCGGTCGTCAATCAACGTGTTGACGCGCACGTCATAAATACGGAGACACTCGGTCGGTTCAGATAATTTTACCGTGTACAACGGTACGTAAACGTTTTTTTTCTATTACTATTAACGTCAGAGCGTTAAAAAAAAAAAAAACTTGTAAAAAAAAAATTGTCTTTACTGTCCGCTGTTGACGATCGGAAGACGATAACCGCGACGGCGGAAACCGTTGTGTTTGCAGAGAAAGACAGCGGGTCCTCGTATCGGACCAACGCTCGCGAATGGACTGAATTCCTTGTCGGCTGCGAATAATTGACTACTACTCTCTTTTAACCGCGACCTCAACGCCAACCGCCACCACCGCGACCACGGACCGCGCGCGCGCACACCGTCTTCGCGCCTTTCCATTTCTTCGACGTCGCGCGCCTCCTCCGGCCTTATCCCGTTCGTTACACGATTCTGTAACAACGGTGATAATTACTATTTTTGTAATTTTGTTTTGGTTTCTTCTCTCTCTCTCTCTCTCCGTGTACCGCAGCGTTCGTCTCCGCGGATTTTCGTTATCGTATTGCGCGATCGTAAGCGAACACACGTGCTCGCGGCGCGGCCTTAAAAACTCTCATTAGGTTCATTATCCAGTCGTAACGCATATTCGCACGCATGTTCATCGTTATAACCGTAGGTTTCGCACTGATAAGTTTTTTGGATTCGGTCCCGAACGCGTTTTCCGATGATTATTGTGAGATAACGCGTGATACAATCGTCGCACCTGCGTAGGCCTTTTGTTCGTCTGTTTAATATGTAGGTTTACTGCGTTTGCCTGGTCTTCATCGGAGTATTTCTAAAAATCAGGATTCATTTCAATCCCTACATACTCGAGAAAACGTGGGGATGGTATTTAAAATGTAAGCGAATGATTAAAACGTGAAAAATCAAATTATTTGATTTCTCACGAAAATCTATCGTACGGTACGTACACATTTTTAATCAAACATCAAAAAATATACCAATATGTGTATAAAATCATGTTACATAAATTATGTTTTTGAATAGAAAATCAATAGCACATAAATTGTTACGCGGAAAAAATGTGTGCAGCGCGTAAGGTATGAATCGTTCGGCAGTACGTACGTAGTAATATACTTTTCGTATAAGTAATGCATATTTAAATATTTATCATCGGTGCAATGAGATATACGGTTTAATCGTATGTGGACACTTAACGCTGATTTGTTGGTATTGAATATTCACGACATTAAAGTAGCAATGGGCCCTTACTTGTGACCTTCACTACCGTGAGCTTCGGATAAGTCGATTTAATAAAATATAATATCAATAATAATAATATTAATATGTTTATCTGTACTAATACGTCGTTCTACATTTTCATTCACGTTTCGAAATTCCAAGTATGTTTATTTCATCAAGTAAATCATAAAGACTATCGGGTTTTTGGTGTCCATATATCACATATAATTTATTCACGTACTTTTATGTTATACATACGAGTATTTATTATAATTATAATATTTTATACGTATAAATAATCAATGAAATGTGTTCCACTGCTGCTATCATCCAAGGTGCATTGGAATGTGTATTTACATAAGTTTTTCGATATTTCTGCAAGTCGGCTAGGTTAACGAGTATGAAATGCGTACATGAAAATTGTCGGATATTATTTAACTTCGATATTAAAATTTATTATAATATGAGCCGCAAATCAGATGTAAAAATTAAATATTAAATTATACAGAGGTAATAGAAAATATAAATAAATAAGTAATCGTCACATTTATAAATGTAGTATAAAAATGGAATGAAACTCTTGCAATGTAATTGAGTAAGTGAATGCTTGAGTAATATAGTAATAAAGTACTAAATGTATTAAACTGTTTTTAATACATTTATAGTTTAATTATAATATGTTTGTAATTTAAAAATAATTGAATGTCATCCTGAAAGGAATTACATAATCATAATATAGGAAAACTTTTCTTTCTACTTTTTAAAGTTTTGCATTTTACACGGGTCTAAGCCCATTTTATTTTATTATTATTTATATGGTGGCATAAATTATAATTATTAAGTTTTCGAATACTCTTCAAAACATTCTTAGAGACGATTTACGTTATTAATTGATAGGAAATTCGGTTTTTAGTGAACCTCTATTATACGAGTTGAAACAATTTAGACGAATTATGGGCCGGTAAAAACCTTTCAATGAAAAACGATGAAAATCAAAATATCTTCTTAGTGGCATGATTTTTCCACTCATCTCGCATGCATAAATGTCGCAAGGATATTGTATCTACGTTATTCTCAAGAGAAATCGAAGTACGTATTAAAAATCATATTCAAGGTGTCTTTTAATCGGTATCTGGAAATGGTCCACTGTATCGTATGTGTATGTGCCTATTAAAAATGTATCTCGTTTACCCCGATGTAAATTATATTATTAAAATTGCATCTACATTCAAACCACGGCGTCCGGTCGATGTTTCAATATATTATATGTTATGCATGGTTAAATGAAAATCGTGCAGTCGTATTAGTTACGTATACACACTCGTGGAAGAATTCTCCGAACCGTAAGTAAACATGCTGATATATACGTGGTTTTGCGCGTAAAATTCGCAAAAGAAATTGACGGCGCACGTGATTTCCGTGCGCCTCGTTCGTACGAGAACATAATATATTCGTATGAGTTTTATCTAAATATTATAAAATATTTGTATCACAGCAATAATCTGTACCAGTTAACGCGTTCGCACCTAAGAAAATGATTTCAACGTTTCGGTGTGCTGTAATAATTATTATTACCGTTGCGCGCGCTCGCGTTTCATAAATGCGATTCCAAACACGACATGTTAAATGAAACGTATATTAACAGCTGTTACCGTGCGATATGGATACGAATACAACGTGTTATTATGCATAATAATACTATGTACATGCGCATAACCGATTTACAAAAACTTTTCGCCGATTGTTAAATACACTTATGTAATGTCGCCTAATATCATCATCATTATTATTATTATTATTACGTGTATACAATTATCATCGTTAATCGCCGATATTTGTACGCACTATTGGTGTATCGAATTGACGTATGTAAATTAAAACTTATAAACCACTTACCCACTAGAAGAAATTATTTTATCCATTCACGTTGAATAGAAACCAAACGTGCAGTGTTATGATATTATAATTATCGATATTATATATTATAATATTATTATTATTTTTAAAATCTTTCGTAATTATATATTATACATATCACACGCGTATGTGGTGGAGTTTGACTATACAAATTAGAATGATTATGCCGTATTGAATTTATCTAGTAAATCTGCGCGGAAATCGACAAGGATGAGATATGTATTGTGACCATGGACGCAACTAGAGTCTAAATATTGGGTGTGCTGACATTTCTGAAAATTAAATTAAATGGTATTTAACTGTAATTACTATAGATTATGTAGATCTGAAAAAAAAAAAACAGGAGTGCTTTTGAACCTAGGGGTTGCTAAAAACCCTATTGCGCTTCCTAGTTGCGCCTATGCTCGCGACCTTTGTATTTCGCTAGGTTTAATCGACCAAGAACGAGAGCCGAACAGGTCGCAGCGGAGGATGCCGATCGGTACAATCCGTAACGTGAGAAACATAAATCGTTGTTGATCCCGTCGCCTCGTGTTGGCCGAAAAACGTTTCGAATGAAACACGTCGCGCTGCACGGTACCGTGGTTACGAAATGTTTCTAATCGAAACGACCAATTTGGAAAACGAATTTCGATTTGTCAGCGGGTTCCGGAACAACGTAAAACCGGAAGCACATTCAATTCAAACGTGTTAAATTGTGGTGACCACTGTTGTCGCAACGACCTCGCGAAAACCATTGCGGAGAAACAGCGTCGTCGCGTAAGTACACCTGTCATGAGAACATGCCGTACAGGCAGTCGCTTTTGGCTGCGCCGAAGCAGCGATATAGTTCCGACACAACCACGTCCCGTGTTCGCTTCAACGCGCATCGTCCCACGCACTACGGTTTTGTTTGTGTCCGTGCACGGTAAGGGCCGGACCTAGCAGTTGGGATACCGGGAGGTGAGCCGCTTTTATTTGTAGGAAAGTTTTTTTTAAGTTTTTTTGAGGTTTATCGGTTTATGCTCATTGTGTCGACAGGCAGACGCATTTTATAATGAGATTGCATAAGAAAATGTCTACAATTAAATAAACGGTCTTTCAACTGTTAATATTAATATTAAGTATTCAAATTCTTAAAATAATATACAATAATTTTTAATGAAAATTTACGGTTTTTTTTTTTTTAGGGTTATTATTATACTTTGGTGCATTATAGTAAACCGTTTTTTTTATTTTCCCGGTAGAAATTTCTGACCCAGTTCGGCCTGGTGTACGGTGTAATTTGAACATTTTTTTATTTGTACGCCGATGGACGACATACACAGTACATTTTGTATCGTTGTACGGTGTTCAAACAACACCGACCGTTTTGTTCAAATACCGAAATCGACCGCACACTACTTTATTTTTCTTCAGTTTTCCTACGAACGCTCTTCTAGTTTCCATAATTCCACATATTGTGGCTCCTATTTCGTGCACCGTACATCTAGTTTTAGCAGCTACTACCATACGGCATCGTTTCTTAAAACTAATGGTAAAAAACAAAAAAACAAAATGTACTTGAGAATAGCTATTGAAAATATCTGAAAACTTTACGGTTTTAATTCGAATACCGATTATGGGCGCACACTTTGACTTTTCTTAATTTCGAACACCGAACACAGATAAAAAATCAAATTCCTCAGTTTTTATTCCGTTTCCGTGTACGGTGTTTTTTTTTTTGGGGGGGGGGGGGGGGGTTAAGTGAGTTTCTGCCATAATTTGTTGCGCATGTCGATTTATACGAAGTCTTTCTTACGT